CTCTGCCCCAGACACAGGGTGATGATGAAAGCAGCTCTGCATCTCAGGAATAACTGGGTGATGAGCTTCTCAGGTGTGTTGGAGATTGACAACAATGACACCGGGCATTACAGTGGGTCAAAGATTAGGTGCAAGTGTCCTTTCTTATATGTGTCATCAGGCTTTCAAGAAGCCTTGACAGTATACCTTAGAGACACAGATTCTGGACAGTATACCTTAGAGACACAGATTCTGGAGGCAGGTTTGGTACTTATGGCCTTAGGTGATTTAATCAGTCTTCCTTTGCCTCAAGTTCCCCCTCCTTAGGTGGAGGAGGAGAGTGATAGCCACACAGACTCCTGCAGTGATGCAATGACCAGCACACGTGAGGCTCCCAAGTCCTCAGAAACACTACTACCCCTATTATTTGGTGAACACTGAGATCCAGCAGAACTCAAACAGTCATACACATAGAAAACCTGAAGAACATAGTAAATCTGCACCCAGATTTGTGATACTATCTCCTGGATGTCTGTGCCTTCTTATTATCCTGAGAATTAACGATTCCCTCAGTTCAGGCTTTGCATCTGTCCCTGTTGTTCTTGAAGCACATATTACTGTAAAATTGTGTCCAGAAAAAGCATTTTTAGTGTGCCATGTTTTCCATCTCTTGGCATGAAGGACTTTAGGGAGAATTGTAGGACTGATATTGGGGAGGTCAGTTCCTTTAATGTCATGGCTTCACTGTGGAAAGGCCCCAACTAAGCAACTAAGAGTCACATCTGTCCATGTGAGCTGGAAATTACAAGGTTCTAACTCCTGTAGATCCCCACATGTTCCAAATATGATTCATAGCAGAAAACGAAGTTCAAAAGCTGATTCAGAAGAAACCATTAAGCATGTCCTGAAAGAAAACAGTTGATTTCATCTGTTTGGGAAAAGCATTTCAGCATAAAGGGGCCTCAAATGGAATGGTTGGCCTTTTACGAAAAGCCAGATTTTGCTGGAGTCAGAAGGAAATGCAGACAGGCAGGTTTGCCGATGGCCTGAGATAAGACCCAGGGAGCCGGGCAGGCAGCCTGAGTACAGAGTCTTGCGCTCATGCTAGGAGCTTATCAGCTAGGGAGAAAACTGGAAATGATTATCCCTGGCTTTCAGTTGAATGCAATGAACAAAGTTCAATTGCTTTCTTTCTCCCCAAAATGAGAGAGAAGGGCATTGCCCCAGCCTCATAGTTCCCTGCTTCCCCTGTTTGAGCAGGCACAGGACTGCCTACAAACTATGCCATCTAAGTTTCAAAGACTCACGTGGAGCCATGGTTTCCAGGGTCTGGGAGAACTCTCCAATAGGCTGTGTCCCCTCTGCAGTCCCAGCAGTTCATCCAGGATTTGCTGAACTCCACACTCATCAGACAGCTTTCTTATAGGGAAAACCTAGCCAAAGGATGTGTATTTTGGCAAGCTGCTTTCTCAAAGCAGCATAGTTAGGCTCCACAAACAGCTCAAGAAGCAAAAGTCACCCAGGAGCAGTGTGTTCAGTTATTAATCTTTTTTCTACTGCTACTCAATTGCTCTCTTTCTTTTTTGTTGAAACTTAAGCAATAATACTCCCTAAGAAATTTTCCATTTAGAAAAAGAAAATGTCAAAATGGTAGAAAAAGAATAAAACACAAAGGACTCACAGGAGGGACTGGGCAGACCCTGTTTGATATAGCATCCCATAGCTAACAGGGCCAAGCCATATCTGGAAAAGACACACTGCCAAGGCAGAGAGCAGCAAACAGCCATACTTCTGAGTGCTGTCTTGTTGATTTTATTCCAGCCTGTTCAACCCTGTCAGAAAGATGAAGAAAAAGAAATTAAAATGTAGCAATAATAATAATAAAAAAAAAGAAAATGCATCACCTAGAAATGTGTTCAGTTGTAACTGAATGCTCACCTTATTGGGGCTTTAACAAATAGAAATTCATTTTTCTCTTAGCATTATACATTTGGAAGGAGGTGTTTCCTGAATTTGGTCAGTGGCTTGGTCACGGTTGAGGTCTTTATGATTTTCTAGGCTTTTTCAACATGTTTGATACTTCCTGATCACAAGGTGCTTGATGAAGTTCTAGGTAATCAAATCTGCCTCCAAAGCACACAGGGATAAAAAAGGTAGCAGGAACTCATCCCTATTGTCAGCATAGCAAAAAATTTTCCATAATCTACCAGACTTCCACTTACATCTCACAGTGATAAATCTTGGTTTTTCCTAGCTGCAAGGGAGGCAGGGAAATGAGTATTTGGCTACTTAGTCTCTGCAATGGGAAATGACAAGGGTAAAAAGAGTGAACATTAAATAAAATCAACCAATAACATTTGCTAGCAAAAGGCAATGTAGAATCTAACTTAAATGAGATATAGTCCCTGCCCATGTGTCTCTTAGATTCACAGTACATAGATTTGAATACAATCTAGAAATCTTGATTTTAATAAAGCTCTCTGTTTAATTCTAATAATCATCCAGATTACAGAGCCCCTGGTCCACATAGGAGTCCTTTCATTCCCATGAAAATGGCATGAGGATTAGAGAGACAGTGGAATGCTGAATGCTGCCTTCTTCTAAAACAATTGACCCCCTAAACTCCCTCTAAAATAAGGGAAACTAGCCAGTGGTGTGGAAACACTCTCCCACAAGGTGATAATATTTGGGGCCTGGAGAAAGCTGTTAACCCTTTATAGGGCACCAGACAATAGTACCCCAATTTATTGTCATATGAACAGACAAAAAGCCTAGGGACCAAAGCCTTCCGTTCTGTAAAAATCGGAATAATGAACCAGGTACATAAGATGCTGAGGCAGGAGGACTATAAGTTCAAGGTCAACCCAGGTGATTTAGTGAGACCCTGTCTCAAAATAAAAAAGAAAGAAAGGCTGAGGATACAGTTTACTGGCAGAGGGTTTGCCTAGCATGCCTAAGGCACTGGGTTTAGTCCTCAGTACTGTAAAACACAGAACAAAACAAATCACAGCAATGAGTAAGAAGAATGCACCCTGAAGCCCTCTAAGACACCATGCAGAGTTGGAGACTGAGTGAGGTGTGGGGGGCACACAGCTGGATTGTTTCCACCTTTAGGAGGGGTGTCAGTCCTTTCCTCTTCTGGGCCACAACTGTGTCAACCGCAGATACTCATTTAGCATAAGAAGCTGGAGGCTGCTCTCAAATGTTCCCCCTTTCTCTTCTCTCCAGCAGAGGCAAAACTAAATCCTGAGCTGATTCTGTTCTTTGTCTCTGCTGGCAAGAGGAGCTTTGTCCCCAGGTACCTGAGCTCCAAGCTCACACCAAAAGAGACAGCTCAGGTGCTGCTAAGGCCTTTGCTTCAAACTTTACTGGAGTACCTTCTGAGAGATGCGGGAGCCCCATGTAAACTGGCTGGGAAGGATTTCAACTGTCATCCTGGATGAAGAATTCTGTGGGCTCAAAAGGGGAGCCCCCAGTTCCAAAGCCAGTTTTTTTCCCTATAAATTGATTTTCCCATATAAAGAGCAATCATTTATCAGGTAGGTACACACCTGTTTCATCCTCCCTATAGGTGGATGAATGAATTACTCCTTGCTGATTACTTACCAGTCAGGCATTAGACACGACCTGACATGCTCATTCTCTTATCTAACCCTCCAAGGGCTCACTATCATTCCCGTTTTGTTGATCCAGGGTCATGAAATGACCTGAATTCCCCAGAGACAGTAAACAGCAGGGAAGATTCAAACCCTGTTCTTTTCTGATATTTTCTTTCTTCATGCCTTTGAGCACAGATAACTGATCAGGTTAAGAAAAATATTTTAACAGCTATGTAGATTGCTGGCATCCTCATGGATGAGAACTTTTTGGTCCTATCTGCATCCAGTTTGTGCTGCTGTTCAATATTATTTGATCATAAATCTGCAGATGTCAGTTATTTTCCCACTGCTGAGTGCTATGGATGATGAGTGGCAGCCCATATACACTCACCACTGGGCTTTGAGAAGACATTAAGAGAAAAATACATCAAACTTATTTGCAAGACTGTTCTTATCTCAAGGTGCTTTGGGCTTACAGAAGGATTTCCTTTAAGTGGGAGTGGTGGCGGCAACCAGATCCCTTCCTACTTACCTGTCCTTGACTTGGCACCAATGAGAACTGAGAGTCAATACCCCGAGGCCTGAGGCCTGGGTCTCTCAAGAGCCTGAGATGGAATGGGGCTCTGAAATGTGTCCCAGTCATGGAGAGCTTCAAAACTCCCCCACAGAGCTGGATGCTGTGACACACACCTATAACCCCAACTACTTGGGAGACCAAGATAGGAATATTGCAAGTTCAAGGCCAGCCTGTGCAAGTTATCAGGACATTGTCTAAAAAAGGACTGGAGATATAGTTCAGTGGCAAAATGACCCTGGGTTCAATCCCCAGAACTGCAAAATCCCAAATCAAAATCAAATGTGACACAGCAGAGAGACCAACTTGTCTGTTGGCCAAGCAACATTCTGGCTTTAGAACTGAATCTTGTGTTTTGGGACCTCTCAGTCCTAAGTAAACCAGGAAGGACACTGTCATGTGTTAGGCAAGGACAAAAGCTTTTAGGTGAAAAGCTTTGTCTATGGGAAATATTCTATTTCCAAAATTTCTCATTTCGTAACACTGTAAAACTATGAGGTTCACCTACGGCAAGAAAACAATCCCATTCCCTTTCAATTCTAGCAAAACAAATGTATATCTCTGCTTTTGTGACCTGCGTTCCCTGTGCTTTGCACTTTGGTACAGGGCATGGCTATAATCCACACAGACTCAAGCATCAATAGGCTGTGTGGGTTTATCCCATGGCCCTGTTATTTGAGAAAAGATGTAGCTAATTGCATTGTGTTTCCTGCTGCCTTTTATGAAACAACTTGTAAGACTTGAGCAGAATCAAGACTCTTTGAAGTGTCCTGTGATTTAGATTCCAATCAATTTACAAGAGATGTGAGATAGATCTGAATGTACTCAAATTAATGTGTACCTTTCAGAAGCACCTCATCCCCTGCGAACATCCTGACTGGATTTCATGGAATCTCATTTGATGCTGATTTCTCACGGGCTCTGGAATCCAGCCATGGAAAGAGAGATGCAGTCATCCCTGCTAGCTGAGCATGTTTGGCAGCTTTAGCAGTAAACACCGAGGAGACTGGCCTTTGCTCTGACTTGTCTCAGGTATTGAATCCACCCGACCACAGTTTTCTGGTGGGCCCTGCACGCCTAGCCCAGAGTCGATGTCCTGAAAGTCCATGTAGTGCTAATCAACCTGCCGTTTTGGACCAGTGTGGCCAGCCTGTGAAAAATTCCACAAGTGGGAACATATGACATGGGACCCCATGGCCCTTCCTGTGCTGAGCCACACACTAGGACCAGCACAGACACGACCATCTTCACCTCCACAACGGATGTGAGCAGCAGAAAGTTTCCTTTTGTGTTTCAGATGAGGAAACAAGCATGGTGAGCAGAGGTAGGGAACAGAGCCAGTGACAGGGATGAATGAGCACAGGGTCTGATGTGCTGGTCGCCGGGCTACTGCAGCGGACTCCAAGAATGCTTCTTATTTTAAAAAGGGCAAGAGCAACTGCTAGAAACACAGAGCATTAAAAAAAATTAGGTAGGGAAAGATAATATTTAGATAGAAAAAGAAATTTAAGGTGTCAAGGGTAGGGCATAACAATTGTGCTTGGATTGAGTGCCTACTTCCAGATTTAAGCTCTGCTGACTTATTGCATGGCCTTCAGTGAGCCCAATTAGAAAAGAAGGGGCAGGAAGCAAACTCCCAGTTGTAGTTGCGCTGTCTTGGCATTTGTTTTGGTCGTCATCATTTCTTTGTTATTATTATTATTCTCATGGCATTTTGTCTGTGTTAAGGAGAGTTATAACACTAAGATTAACAGGATCTGTGGGAGGTGGGGAGCAATCGAGAGGAGGGCACATTACATTTCTTGCCAAATCATGACATATTTGTTTTCTTAAACATGTCTTTAAAAATAAAAAAGATTCTCAAGCCCCAAATTCTGCTAATTCTCATTCAAGAAATGTGGGAGCCTGGGCCGTGGTCGAGTTACGCTGAGTAATTTTTGCAGCTGGAGAATATGTTGCAATGGGAACCAATTAAACTCCCACTTCCAGGGCCAGGTTCCTTTCACATTTAGCAGCACCACCTGGAATTAAGACAAAATACACCAATCACAGGGCTACAGGGCAACCCTTGTGCTATCCACGTCTAATTTCTCTTTTTTCTTCTCTAGGCTTTCTCCTAGAAGCTGAACACATCCAGCACTGGGGCATTAACCAGCTCAAGACGAAGTCTGTCTCAATTTCCACCATCTCTAATTGTTACAGATTCTTTCTCTAGGTGAATCCACAATCTACCTTCCTCTAACAACACCTACAATTGACCCAGCCCTGCTTCTTTAGCAACAGGAAGTATCACCTCACCTTCTCCCACAAGAGGGAGATAGCGCCTAAACCCATCACTTTGGTTGTTAGTAATTTATTCCCTCTCAGAATTTGTTTTCTGGGTAAGAGTGCTCCAATCCTGAAGATAAAGTTTCAAGTTTCAATACTATGTTGGGAACAATGCAGTTACTGTGTGGACTGTTCTTTTGGACACAAACAACCAGCATTGCTTAATGGATTTGTGCAAACACGTTCTAATGGGCTGAAGTATGAGATTTGGTCATTTTAGCCCAAGGCCAGGCTGGCCACATTTCAGGCCTGCAACTGAATCACTCATTCAGAATTACTGTTATCACCTGGATTATTTGTTTTGTTTCTTGTATCTGCAATCTTTTACTTACTCGAATGCCAGTAGGGCCCATTGTCTTTGACTGTTCCTAGGTTCGGGATGGAATTTCAGTTTCCAGTCCAATGTCTTTGTCTAAAACCTGGAAATAGAGAGGTTCTCTATGGAGGGATCCAGAAGGGCACAGCTCCCTGGGGCTGAGACAAATTATGAGAGGATATTTGCTCTGGTTTTTAAAAAGGGGCATTCCCACTTCCCCACTAATAAAAACCTTGCTTTCAATAGCCACTTCCATTCTGCAATGGAGTTCAAAGTGTTTTACAGGCATAGTCCAATTAGCTCATTTTATTATTTTTGTTAAGTCTGAATGATGTACTATATTATTATCCCCATTTTACAGACAGGGACATGCAGGGAGCCTTGAGCATGGGAAGGAGCAGGAGGTGGGACTCTGACCCCATGCCCTTGTTATGGCTGGTCCTCACCCCAGCCATGCCTCACCCACCCTGCTCAATTTCACCCACTCTTCAAAGTTCACTTCATGGAGCCTTGGCTTTGTGGAGATTTTCTCTTCTTAATCACTTGTTGTGTGCCCTGCAACTCTTGATTTGATTCAGGTCTTTTGTTTTCTATATAGGTGTTTTGGGGCATTTTGTGTCATTAGAATTTATTGCAATTGTTTATGCTTTATCCTTCAAATATGGAACAGGAGTTCTTTAAGGCACAGGATATGTGGTCTAGTTCTTGTTTAGGCCATATAACTTTTGTATATGGTGGTACTGGGGGGGGCACATAGTATTTATTCCACAAAGTCTTAGATCTCTCCTTAGCACAAGTGGTGTAATATGGCACTAAGGAGGATTAATTATTCATGCCTAAGATGTGAGCCTGAAAATAAACTCAATCTATCAGTAATAATTAAGCATCCACCATATGTAGGGCACTATATTACATGGTAGGGAGGATACAAAGAAAACAGAATTCTACTGCCTTTGGGAATATCCAGTCTCATTGTCTTGGTCTCTTTGAGCTACTATAGCAAAATGCCATACATGGGGCAGCATGTGAACAACAGACATTCATTGCTCACAGTTCTGGAGGCTGAAAAGTCCAAGATCAAGACTTCAACAGATTTGATGTCTGACAAGGGTGACTTCCTCATAGATGGAATCTTCTTGCTGTGTCCTCATATGGTGGAAGGGGCAAATGAGCCCCCTCAGAGCTCTTTTCTAAGGACACCGGTCCCATTGATGAGGATAAGATATATCACCTTCCAGGAACCAACATCTCAAAACTGTTGCATTATGAGCTGAATTTCAACAAATGAACTTGGGAGTGGGGTCAGAAATATTCAGAGCATAGCACTCAGTGAAGAGGTAAGGGCCATACTGTGACGAGGCTGGGGCATAGGACTTGCAGCAGGCAGATGTGGTTTTGAACCTCCGGTCAGCCACTTACTTGAGGAGATTGTTTAAACTCTTTGAACCTTTAGTTTTCTTTTGTGAAATGAAAATAATAATAGTGTAGAGATGGTAAATGAGACAATGTCTATAAAAGAATTTGGCACACTGGCTCATACAGAGTCAAGAATAATAAATAGTAGGTATTTAATATTATTAGATGGCTGATAATTCTAAGTAACTTAAAAGTTAGTCACAGCAATGACATTTGCGGAAGTTCAAAGAGTAGCTGCAAACCACACATTGAAGAGGGGACCAGTGATTAACCTGGAAAGAGTGAGAATTTAGTTTTGAGATGGAGTAAGCCTGGAGGATGTCTAGGGAAATGTATGAACCATGCTCAGGGATGCAGGGCGGCTAGGGTGAGGGAAATAAAAGATTCCCACAGAGGAACGTTAGCTGTGAGTAATAAGAAAAGAGAATCGTTTCTCCGGTACTGGGAACCGAACTCACGACCTTGCGCTTGCCAGGCAGGCACTTTGCCACTGAGCTAAATCCCCAGCCCTTACCACAACCATTTTAGAGACTTGAAAGCTGAAGTTCTGCGAGAAGCTGCACGATCAGTTAGTGACAAATACAGAGACTTTGGCTGGTGTTGGTGAGAATAGGCCCCCGGATTCACTTTCGATAGAAGATAAATTGGACATAGGATTTTGGGGAAGCACTTTCACAATATTCGTTAAATTGTCAATTTCACTTTGAGATACTGGTCCTGGAGACTCATGTGCATATGTAATCAAAGAAGCACGAAGAAAGATGTTCATTGAATACTCCAGAAAGTAGGATACAGTTCACATATCCACTAATCACAGTCCTTGAATGCTCTAAGCAGAGGCATGTCCATGTTGTGGTGTATTAGTGAGCACTTCAACATGGTGAGGTGACTGTACATGAGTGACATGAAACAAGCTCTAAAAGAAGCTGTTTAGTGGGGGAAAGTTACAGATTATAAGCTTATTATAATACCATGAACTCCTAGATTCCCATACACGTTTACAGCTGTATTTGCACATGCGTATTAATACATGGCAGAAGGCTCTGGAAAGAGACGAATCACACTTCCAAAGGCTACTATTGCTGAGTAAGAGGGCGACAGATGAGGGAAGGTACATGTTAAAGGAGGACTTACATTTTAGTGTATGTAGTGTTTGCAAAAATATATTCAGCTACTTCTCAGTTCAGCAACTAAAATAAAATATATGCTACATTAGTACAAGCATTATGAAAAACACCAGTGAGGGTTCCCCCAAATTAAAACTAGACCTACCTTATGATCCAGCAATCCCACCCCTGGGATATATCCAAAGGAAATGAAATCAGTGTGTCAAAGAGACATCTGCACTTCTACATTCATTGCTGCAGTATTTACAATAGCCAAGAAATCCATCACCTGATGAGTGGATAAAGAAAATACGGTACATATATACAATGGAGTACTATTCCACCATAAAAAGAGTGAAAAGCCCATCATTTCAGGCAACATGGATGGAACTGGAAATCCTTATGTTAAGTGAAACAAGCACAGAAAGACAAATATGGTGTGATCTCACTCATGCTTGGAATCTAAAAAAATGTGTTCTCATTGAAGCTGAGATAGAACAATGTTTGCCAGAGGCCAGGGGAAGGGGAAAAAGACAGGGAAAGGTTGGCCAAGGAGCAAGCAGTCCTAGTATGCTCTTGTATAGGGGGTGACTATAGATAATAACGTACTGAATATGTCAGAAAACTAGGAATAAGGGTTTTGAAAGTTTCACCATAGAGAACTGATCAATGTTTGAGGAGACAGATATGTCTAACCTGATTTAAACATTACACATTGTACACATGTACCTAAACATTCCATGGCACCTCATTAATGAGTTGAAAACTAAATGCTACCTCTGTCTTGTAAAATACTTTATTGATTAAAATGGCTGAAATCTGTTAAAGCACACATTTTGATTTGGAAATAAAATTCCTCATCAAGCAAAAAACCCAGTAAGTTTCAAGATAGTATAAACAGTATATACTGTTTTTATAAAGTTCATGGATTGGTATGATTTATAGCTAGGTGTCCTCCCCCTCCAAGCCACATGCACGTGGGTAGGAATTTGGCAGGTGACTGGACTATAGGTGTGTGATACTTATCACTTGATTAGTTCACTGATGGGTTTAAGTTGGAAGTGATGTTAAGAGGAGAAGCCTGTTGGAAGGCTCACTGTGGGTCACTGTGGGTATGGGCACAGATATATATATATATATATATATATATATATATATATATATATATATAATTTGTATATCCCTCTTTTTGCCTTGGGAACTCGCTGCTGCTGCCTCCTGCCTGCCATGGACTGTTTTTCCCCTGCTATGCCCCTTTCCATTCCGCTCTGCCTCAGAGCCCTCAGACTGTGGACTGGAACTTCTACAAACCATGAACCAAAATAAACCTTTCCTCTTTTAACTTGTGGGTGTTTTGCTCCAGCAATGAGGAAGTGACTACAACATACTGTTATGCTACAAACACACACATTAGTAAACAAAAACCAAAAAACAGAAAAACAGAATACTAAACTGTGGTTATGTCTAAATAATGGAGTTATGTGTGCTTTAAATTTTTTTCTTTATAATTGTAGCAGTTACTTTTGCCATAATCATACTGTGTAACAAATCACTCTAAAACTCATTGCCTAGAAACATTTTTTTTGTCTCACAAGCAAGTGAGTGGGTGTCACCCAGTTTGAGTTGAGCTCTACGAGTTCGGTCCAGGCCTGCTGTATGTATCTCCTTCTTGGATGAGTGGGCTAACCAAGCATGTTCTATTGGTGATGACAGTAGTCCAAGGGGCACATGGAAACCCACTCAGTGTTGGTTACTTTTCTCTCACTGCTGAGACAAAATACCCAATGCCCAAAATTAAGGAAGGAAAGGTTTATTTAGCTTACAGTTTGTGGAGGTTTCAGTCTATAATCAGCTGGCTCTGAGGCAGGGTAGCATACAGCACAGGGCAACAGTTCAAGGTGGCAGAAGACAGCAAATGCAGCAAGAGCAAAGGGAGCAGAAAGCAAGTCTCTTTTCCTCCATTATATTGTATGTCAGCTATCCGCCCATGCCCACCCTGTCTCCAGGCCCTCCTCTTGCACAGGCTCAGGATGAATACAAAGTAAGGACCCTGGCTCCCTGCTGAGTCACACAGGCAACCTTCTAAACCTCTCAAGTTAACACAATGTACACACCCTCTCTCTGAACGCTTTGCATTGGAGTTGACACACTGTCCTTTTTGCTCATATGGCCAAGCTAAATCAGTGAGGGAAAGAAATGGACTTTGTTTCTAGTGGAAGAATCTGCGTATTCACATGGAAAAGGGCATAACCACAGGGCGT